ATCCTGTAGCTCAGTGATTAGAACACTTGCTTCACAAGTGAGACGACCTGGGTTTGATTCCCGGCAGGGCAAAATGTTGGGCAGGTTTCCTTACTCCACACGCCTCTGTTTACTGAGCAGTAAGTAGGAACCCGCTTGTTAGTCGATTGGAGGATCGCTTTTCTGGGGATAATAATTTCTTCAAAAATACTACTAATAATAATTTGGTCACTTAATCCCCGACTGTTTGTGGCTGCCGCAATTGGCTGCCGTGTTTCTCCTAGAAAATACAATTAACTTTACAGTGTATTATGCGAAGTGCTAGGAGACATCTCAAAGACATGATATATTGCTATATGAAATGCAAGGATTATTATTATTACATTCTCATTATTGATACCATAATAAAAATTGTTACTCTCTGATCTAAATTCAATGCAAACAAATTCAATTGAGTTAGATTGCTCATCTCACTTTTGTTTGTGGATGTTGCTGGTGTAGATTATTTGCCTTGTTGGTCCACATAACAACATTCTACGTTAAATGCAAGGTTATTATCAATTTATTTCCAGATCATCATCCTGTTGTCAATTTCTGCTTTGTGATCTAGGTAGACATTTAGATAGATCTTTGCTCGGCCGACACCAGCCTGCTCCACTGTGAGCTAACGCTGTGGTTGAAGCAAAAAGCACCAATGTATTTAAGAGGAAACTTGTTCCACAAATGAAGGGTGTGGGAGACGGGATTAGTAATGTTGAGGCTCATGTGGAGTATACACTGGCATGGCCTAGTTGGTGAATGGTCCGTTTCCATGCTGTAATTCTATGGAAAAAGCCAACATACTGTATTCCAATTTAAGAAACTTCACTTCAGCGAAGAATTCAACAGGTAGTTGCCTGATTCTGGGTAGAAGTAGTATGTCTCAGATCCAGGGTAGCCTGGCGAGTGTCGCGATCTAGCTTCTGTTAAATACTACATGAATAACCTAGCATTTTGGAAGCTGAAACAAAACTAAAATAGTCCAAATGCTACTTAACAATTTCCAGCCTTGTTGGATAAAACATCATTAATTAAAAGTGCTTGTAGCTCTGTGATGTGCAAAAGAGCTCAGTTTAATTACAGACCATTACTAAAATTTACGGTAATCACTAAAAATACCATCTATTCCCCATGACTTTATAATGGGATTTCTCATTATGACCCTTTAGTAAAAAAAATATATTATTAACTATGGCTTTAATTTGGGGCCCACTATAATTAATTAATTGGTTTGGAAACCCAGAAAAATGAATATAAATATGAACGACTCTTTATACTGATCAATGAGTCAGTTATAAGTCATCATAAATTTAGGGTTATCACCATATAAAAATGGCAAAGGTTATAAATAATGTTTTGCCAAGAGCACTGTTGGAATCTGGTATGTCTTACTTCAACTGATAAATCCTCATGACATGAAAGGTGCTATACCAAGTGCAAGGATTATTATTATTCCACACTGTAAGCAATCTATGGATGTGTATAATGGGTACAGCATTAGAAAGGGATACCCTCAGGCTAAACAGGGACAGGCAAGATAGTTATTCTATTGCTGCGTGCACTGTGAAAAAATAAATGATCAAATGCAAACAACTGCAAATATTATGAAATTCAGTAAACAGAGAGAGCAAACTGAAAATAATCGGGAAAGAACAGATGGCTACTGCTTGCAAATAAGCAAATCCATCGCATTATTGTAGACTGCGCACCTGGATCAGTGCCAAATGGAATCGAAATTCTGACGCATTCTGAATTAGGCACATCAGGATTTTCAGTATTTCATTTTCTTTTTTTTGGTGGGGGGTGGTGGGTTGATGGGATGGTTCTGGATCGGGGAGGGTTACTGAAAAAGGTGCAGCCAGTGACGTATCTATACAAGGCTGAACAAGATGCACTGTGGGTGTTGAAGATAGCACAGCCAGCCTCAGAGGGGATGGGAATGATAGGATCATGGAGCATGGTGCGGCAGAAAACCAAGGGCTGCAGAGTTCTAGATGATCTGCAGCCTATGGAGGGAGGAGTTGGGGAGGCCGACAAGCAGAGAGTTTGCGTAGTTGAGCCTGGATGTTATGAATGCGTATATCAGGGTCTCCACGGCCTACTGTGTGAACCAGTGGCGGAGTTGGGCAATGTTGCGGAGGTGGGGAAAGGCAGAGCGGGACATGGCATGGATGTGGGGTAGAAAGAATAGTTGTTGCTGTCAGTGCTTAAGGTGTGGAGGCGCTGACGGGAGCCAATCAGGAGGGCCTCAGTCTTGTTGACATTCAACTGTAGAAAGTTAGCTGGTGCCCTGACACTCTGGGGTCAAGGGTGGAAGCAGAGAGGTAGAGTTGGGTGTCATGTGCATACATGTAGAAGTTGACCCCTTGTCTGTGGATGATGTCACTAAGAGGGAACATATAGATAATGACGAGAATGACCGAGCCCTGAGGAACTACCTACAAGATGGTGCGGGGACTAGAGGGGAAGTTGTTTGTGGAGATGTTGGCATTTTTAGAGAGGTGGGAATGGTGCCAGTGGACGGGGAGTGGTTTATGATCTCAGTGAGTAGAGGGGCAAGGAGATGGAGTTGGGAGTAAGGAGAGGGGTAAGGATGGGGTCGAGGGTGCAGGTGGTCAATTTCACGTGGGTTATGGTGGTGATGAGAAAGGAGGAGGAGAGAGGTTTGACGGTGTGGAGAAAGGGATGGGTAGGGGCCGGGGTGTGATGGGGCGATGGGAAGGGGTTAGTGTTCGGAAGGGCAGTGGCAGCTGAGCGGATCCCCTCAACTTTGGTTTTGAGGAAGTACAGCGTCTCCTCGCAGTTGGAGTTGGAGGAGAGTATAAGCGAGGAGTGAGAGAGTGGGCGGAGGAGCTGGTTGGTGATGGAGAAGAGGAGCCTGGTGTTGCCAATAGGATCACCTAACTAGATGTGTGTGACAGAAATGCTATTCTCACTGGTTGCATAAAGATCCATCCCCTTAATGTGACAGAATGTGCTTCTCTCTGCCAGAATTAGCACACTGAATGAATAATGCATTTACTTCACCAAGAGGTGAAATTCTGCAAGTTGATAAGGATATTGGCATTGGTGATGTGTAGTTATCACAGGAAAATCTTTCTAAGTGCACACAGCTAAGACTAGGAACATTACGGACCAGCAGAATTTGAGCCCATCATCCTACAAAGTCTTCCTATCACCAGCAATCCAATGGGGAACTTCTTGTTTACCTCTCACCACCCACCATCAATTCCCTATCTCTGACATGGTGGAGCATGGGTCAATATAATATAAGATGTTGGCTGTTCTGAAGGCCAAAAACTCTCCAGATTCACACCGCGCACAACACAGTCTCCAACCCAAAAGAGAAACTTATATGTGGCTGGCCATACAGGGAACGTCCAATGAGCACAGCTTGCAGACAGCAAGGTGACTAAGTACCTTCTCACCAGGTTATAAATAAACTCTTTCAATATAATATTTAATTGTACATCGCTGCAGAGCAATGTAGGAATATAACGTGGCAGAATCATTTATTTGTATCCCGTTAAAAAAACTGTACCCGATATAAAGTAGCAGTATAAAATCCATGACAGATGAATGTGCACTACTCATAACTATCAAATAGGAAGAAGTTATAATAATAATAAGAATCCTTATATTTGGTACAGCACCTTTCACGTCAGGAGGATGCCCCAAAGCGCTTCACAGGATATACTGTAAAATGGAGTGACTGTATACTTTTGTGGGTGAACACAGCAGCCAATTTATACATAGCAATGTCCCACGAACAGCCATAGCATGAATGACCAATTTTATGTGGGGGGATTGTTGGCCAGGTGATTGGGAGAAAGTTGGAGGAATTTCCAAATACGTTCCTTGTGATAGTTATGAAGCATTTTGAAGTACTATAGATTTTACCCCACCATATATTACATAAAATGATATTTGAAGTCAAGGAATTTATGTGTTGTAGCCTTGGGTTCAAGTGACATTCGGTTCATTCCATGCTTCACTCTTCTATCTTATTGCTGCATCTTTGAAACATACCGTTATCTGTTCTTAAACTTCTGCTCTATGAACAATAAAGAAACTGACCATAGATTAATCCATAAAATTGTAACCTGTGCTATAATAAGGCTGCAATAGTTGGTTTCACTGCCTCAGCAGTGTCCCACAAATAGTCGTGGATTGAGTGACCTTTTTTTTATTTATTTTTTATCTTATCTGCATTTCACATTGTGATGCAAAGGTACTCGGAGGGTTAACAACAACAACTTGGATTTATATTGCGCCCTCCACGCCGAATGGCGTCTCAGAGTGCTTCACAGTAACGGATCCCATCCCGCTGATGGCGAAGCGGAGGACTCGGGGGACAAGGAGGCGGCCAGTGCTGGTGGAACGAAGGCAACGGGTCATGTTTTGAGGAGAGAGGAGGTCAGAGAGGTAGGGGGGTGCAGAGGAGTGGAGGGATTTGAAGAAAAGGGTGAGGATCTTGAAGTTGATCCTCTCTGGCACAGGCAGCCAATGCAGTCTGGGGACTGGGGTATAATCGGGGAGCGGAGGGGTGCGGGTAAGAATGCGGGTGGCAGAGTTTTGGATGACCTGAATTTTATGAATGGTAGTGGAGAGGAGACCGGCAAGGAGGGCATTTGAGTAGTCCAGCCGAGAGGTGACAAAGGCGTGGACCAGGGTTTCAGCTGCTTTTGGAGTGAGGTGTTGGTGGAGATGGGTGATGCGTCGGAGGTGGCAGAAACCGGTGCTGGTGAGGGACCGGATGTGGGGGAGGGAGGATAATTGGGGGTCGAACCTGACGCCTAGGTAGCGAACGGGTTCTGAGAGTTTTAGGAGGAGGTCGGGTAGGTGAGGAAAGTAAGAACCGTGTGATTTTAGAGGTTGACGAGAGCCAAAGAGTATGGCTGCTTGTCCATTATCCTTCAATGATTTACAAACAATTTCTTCAGTGTGTGCAATTGGGAACACAGAACTGTGTGCAGAATTACCTTTAAAGTTTGGTCTAATTCTTGCATCATATCCTGATGTTCTTCCCATCAGTTTGTCCAGAAAATCTGATGGTGACATTGATTGTGAATGAGACTGGGAGCCTTCTGTTTCTTTAGGTGTCACCAAGCTGTAAAATAAACACAAGAGATAAGTACAAATACACCCCAATAGCTGGTCTTCTTTTGGTTCATTGCGTTCGAGTCTTGCTTTTCCATTGCATACTCCATAATCGTGCTATACATGATGGGTTATTGGAATACACTGTAGGCTTTGAAAATTTAACAACATTAAATTCGCATCAACTCATATGAAAATCTTTGTGGTGTGAAATTTATTTTCTCAGTAAGAGAAAATAAAACATAAGCTTTACCATTTAATGTTATTATCTTGTTTTCTTGACAAGATGTCTGGAATCTCTTGATAAAACACAGTTTGGAAACTGTGTCAATAAGACAAATACAATTGCACAAGGAGAAAATTTATACAAACCCGAAAATGCTGTAACTTCCTGGGTAGAGTTAACAGTTTTGTATCATTTGCCTGCACTGCGTGCCTAGTGGTTCATAAATCCACACTGAATTATTTGCCTTTACATGGATGGGCATTGTAATGTTAAAAGCACCAGGGTTTCAAGGACACATTTTAGGACTGGAAGAGAAGATTGTGAAAGACTGAATAATTCTCATCTGGAAAATCAAGCAGAACGGAAGCAGAACCAAAACGAGAGATGAATCAATGAAATGAACCAAGGAGACAGGTTCAAGTCACTTAAAGGATATTAGATTGAAAGATGGACCTCCTTTCGTCTTTCTCATCTCCAGGAATAGAAATGTAATATTAACTGATGGGATTGGAGGATGTTTAGTGTGGCGACATAAAGCAAAACATTTGAGAATGGGACCTTGTTTTGAAGGTGAAAAGACCAAAAAAATGAAGAACGATTATACAGTAAGCATATGGTGTATGATTCCTCCAAAGTATAGATTTATTCTATCAACGACATCTAAAAGCATCCATAATTTGGCGAATTCTTGAATGCAGTCTTAAATCTGAGGCTGTTTATTTCAGTTCGTTAAAGAAATTTGCAGACACATTTTTAAAATTAAGGCTGTATTTGAAAATATGTCAAATTGTGCACTCTGGGTGGGTGAATAGGTAAGTAGGTGGATTGATGGGTGGGTAGGTACTTCAGCTGTAAGGGTGTTAATGGATATAGAGAAAATGTGGGGAATGGGATTTAAAGATCTTCTATGATCTCATAAGTGGCAGAACAGGAGTCCTGTAGTGTATTGAATAGAGCACTCGCCTCGCAATCTAGAGGATCTGGGTTTGATCCTGGGCAGGCAAAGCATTAGGCAAATTTTCTTATTCCACACCCTCTGTTTACCTACCAGTAAGCAGGAACCAGTTGTTAGTCGATTGGTGGTTTTCTTTTCTGGGGATAATAATCCCTTCACATTTTTCTTTTTTTTAAATAATAATTTGATTACTCAATCCACCACTGTTTATGGGACACTGCTGTGTGCAATTAGCTGCCTCATTTGGCCCACAAAATATACATTCAATTCACTTTACAGTATATTTTGGAAGAGCTTTGAGACATCTCAAAGACATGATAAGGCGCTATATCAAATGCAAGGATTATTATTATTATTCAATGGGATGAATGGCTTACGTGATCCTACATTTCTATATTTTTAAAGAACTTTTTCATTTCTCAGTCCGCGATCGATATTTCCCAAACATACTTGTGTATACAAATCACCGTTACATTGATTTTGCTGTCCTTGCTCTGCAATATATTGAAAAATTAATTCTTGTTGCACGATTGATGTTGTAAAGTCATGTGCAAATGAAAGAAATATTGATTTTCCCAGTTGCAGAATAGTTGAAATACATTGGGGGGAAAAAAATTGAATGCTGAACCCAATTTGGGGGTTAGTAATCGAGTTCTAAACCATCAAGGAGATTGTTGGTTGTTGTGGATGCAGAAAATCTAGCTTTCCTTCAAGCTTCTGCTTGCGATCATGGATTTGAATCCCAAGGATGACCGACATCATAAATACTTCAGTCACAAGTGATGAGTTTCATTCATTCTCTGCAGGGCTGCTGGCTGGCAGTTCTGATAGTTCCTATTGCTGAACAGTATTGGAAGAGCAAACTGACAAGCTCAGATTCTACTGAATTCATTGTACTGTGACAGTCCTGGTGTTGGCCAGCACTGCAAGCACATCACACATATATTTATGCTCAGACCTAAACTGGATGACAAATATTGACTGAAATTCTGTTGTTTCTTCACAGATGAAGTGCAATCACATCCATTTGTTATAAAACAGTGCATTCTCCACTCTTAAGTACATACTCAGATCAATTTGGTGTATGGTATCAGTATCCAATTGCAGTTTTGTTGTTGATCTTGTCATTTTACACTCTTTCCCTCTTTGGCTGATCTCATGACCGTCTTCCGCTCTGGCCATGTTTCTGTGATGCCTGTAATAGGGTCTAACATGTCATTTGTAAACCAAAGGTCAGTGTTCTAATTGTGGTTTCCAGGTTGCAATTGAAATTGCCCAATCCATCAACAAGTTGACCAAAAATTCACAATCCTTTAAAGCAGTTTTGTGGCCAGGATTTGACAATTCGATATTTGCTCGAGATATTTTGAACCTTTCTTCAGCTGAGTATCAGCCCGAAATCAAAATGCCGACAGTGCGATCATGATTTCCGCTTTTTGCTTGTGTCTGGCCTTTTGCTTCCAACTGTCTTCCCAGCCAAGGAAAGGCAGAAAAGGTCTGCAAAAGGTCAGAGTGCAAAATGTTGGCTGTAAAATAATCTTTGGGATGTTTGGGGTTGTTTCTGATGATGTTTCTGTGAATTCCTTTTGCAAATCCTGAAATTTTAGTCAGAAACTTGAAGTCACAATTAGAAGGTAAGTGACTTTGAGTTTGAACAATATGCAGAGAATAAAAATTCCAGCAACATTCTTACTACCACTTGTATGGTAATCGTGGGCTCCACCATCGTGGGTGGCTGACACATATGGAAACCCATCACAAGCTCAGGAATAACCAAACCAAGCTGAGAATTCCATTCATCCCACCAACACATGAAAATCACAGAGACTGACTGTTGGAATGGAATGTGCACTCTCTCCTCGGAGGGACACTTCCTGCTTACCTAATCCCAGAAAGTATTAGGCACAGGTTGGCAAGTTCCAAGACTTGGGGACCCCAGAGTGTGTGTTTGGGTATTGTTGGAGTTTAACCAGCTAAAACCATACAGCTTACCATTGATATCACTGTCTGGCAAGCTTTCCCACTGCTTGTCCAGGTAGGACCACCCAAGCCCATTAGGGCTTTGGCTTGCAGGGTTAACAGGAGCTGCGTGGGATGACGCTGTGCCCCCAGTGACTGATGGAGCCCACATTCATCATGCAAGTGGTAGTGAGATTGTTGCTAGAACTTTCATTCAATGAGACCTTTTCAGTGCATTGCCCAAGCGACCATTCTTCATGTGTGAGCCCAAACAATGATAGTCAACAAGCTATTCATCCATGGAGAGGAGATGAAATAACGGCCAAGCTCAATTTTGGTTCAGCTGATGTCCTAATAACCTTTTCTGTTTCCATCTGTGCTAATGGAACACAACCTAATAGAACAATTCCTCTTGTATTCTGATCCACAAGCTGTTTTGACAAACAGTCACTGATTACTTCTACCCGACTGTTTCACATTTGTTCCTCCTTTATGACTGTCCCTGATTAGGGACAATAAAATCTTTATGATTATCTAATATAAATTTTTTTAGACGATCTCTCGCTGTGATACATTTTGGCGTTTTTAATTTTTTTTTTAACCTTCTACAAGATGCTGATCTTTATTCAGATCTTATGGTCAGTTCCACAGCAGTTTCGTCTTTAAAATCATGTATTTTGCCATGAAATTTGCAAGGATCTCTGTAAAACTAACACTGTTTTCCTGAGCATATATTGCTGAGACTTTGCAGAATATTTATTTTCTAAGCCATAAGGCTTGTAAAATCCAAAGTACTAAGTGGCCCCACTGCTGGATACCAGTGACTTCATAAAGATCTGTGTGCCTAAATATTTCTCCATCTATGTGATCAGGCAGTTGTTAATTACTATTTTTTTGCCTAATGATCACTATTTTCTGCCCAGATTGCTTATTCCATCTGCCCTTTTGTTGTGACAGCCTCCCTTGCTAATCATGCCACCCATCTGCGAAGCTTCAAAATTCTAGCTTTGTATAAATAGTTGTTTGTGGAGTCCTGTAGCCTAGTGATTAGAACACTCACCCCACAAGCAAGAGGACCTGGATTTGATTCCTGGGCAGGGCGAAATATTGGGCTTGTTTCCTTACTCCACACACATCTGTTTATTTACCTAACAGTAAGTAGGAACCTAGTTGTTAGTTGTTTGGTGGATCGCTTTTCCAGGGGTAATAATCCCTTCCAAAAAGTAAAATAAGAAATAATAATAATTTGGTCACTCAATCCACGACTGTTTGTGGGATTCTGATGTGTGAAATTGGCTGCCACGTTTCGTCCACAAGATATGCAGTCAATTCACTTTACAGTATTTTCTGTGAATTGCTTTGACATCTCTTGAAGAGGTGATAAGACGCTATATCAAATACAACAATTATTATTATTGTTCCCACTTGTTGGTGAGTCCACAACCAGGCTCGACTATAAGTATAGTGACTAGGTGATCTGAAAGAGAATTTACAAGAATCTTCTTTGCACCGAATGTAGTGAGAATTTGAAAGTTGCTGCCTGAAGTGGTGTTGTTTAAGCAGATTATTCAATACCCTATTAATCAGCAGCCATCTGCATGGAGCCAGCTTAATAGATGTCATCACTGAGAACTATTATCTGAGCTTTTGTTGTGATAAATATCTAACATAACTCTAAACTTTAATAAAAATATTTTCACTGGTTTGTGTACAAGTTTAATTCCGTAAGTTAATTCCTGACACCATTCATCACTGATGAAATAATTTGATCTTATTCTACCATTTGATTTTTTAAAATGTTTTCTTCAAAGAATCATAGAATCAAACAGGATAGAATGAGGCCTTCCAGCTCTTTGAACCACTACCTTGCGACAGAGTGAGATGGGGAAAAAATGGAAAGGAAGATACGTGCAGGGAATAGT